ACAACAAATGTAAGCTAGACTCTAGACTGCTGCAGGGCTCTAAAGCCGTGGTATGGTGTTACTAGTTAAAATCTAAAGGAAGCATCATATGGAAATTAGATAGCATACTGTAATGAAGAACCGTCTATAAAGCAACCATGCAACTTCCTCATGGCCAAGTTGCAACTAGGAAAGGAAGAAGAAAGCAAAAAAGAACGAAAAGAAAAAGAAGAGTTCAAAGGAAAGAAGGGAAGAAACAGAGGAAGCCAGACAGACTGTCGGAGGTCTCTAATGCAGTGGTATGCAGCTGCAGCTATAAATCTAAAAGGCATATGTATATATATATACACATATTATACATATGTTAATATTGAAACCGGATAGCTAGAGATACATACTGGAAAACCCGTCAATGAGACGTCCATGCAAGGCCCCTACGGTCAAATGGTAACTAGAAAGAAAGGGAGAAAGAATGAAAGACATGAATATTGAAGAGGAAGAATGGCCTTAAGGAAGAAAAGAAGACACAAAGAAAGGCATGAAGAATGAGGAACAGTTGCCAGCCACCTTGAAAAGTGTAACTTACATTATTCTTACAGTTTCTCCTTTGAGTGGCCTGAAATATGTACACTAACTTACATCCCATCACTCATGCACTAACACTAAGGGTAGGGATTTTGTCTCTACATTTGGCTGTGCTGTGCTTAAGGTGATAAGATGCGGACACGGGTATCAAAGCTCGGGCGGGATGCGTGTACACAATACAAGGCCAGGGCCAGGACTCTGTTTTTTAACATTCCACTCCATACTTTCTGCACGTTTCTTTGCAGCGCTTATATGGGATCTTGGTGTCATGAATCACAATTTGTCTCACAATTTACTTTACTGTAGACATTGCAATGCAGGAAAAGGCGTACCTGGATGTTATTTGAAGCATTGTTTGCGGATGTTTTCAGCCTAGCGCTGCTAGACTGTGGACAGGTCGAGGCTCTCTACACTTGGAAGCAAGCAATGCTGGAGTTGAGCCTTCTCGCTGTTCAACCTTTGACTGGGCGAACACACCAGATACGAGTTCCCTGTCAGCAGCAGTTGAACTATTGCTTCTAACTCACAGATGGCGCCTCAAGACTGAGTTAGCGTACTAGGGGAATGGTAAACACTATATATGTACAGCTGATGTCATGGAATCGTTTCATGCCCATCCCAGCATGGTCTTGGGAAAGGAACCTTTGCAACAAAGGAAAGATGAGCCAGGTATAGCCAGGTAGGAGTTGGGCAATGAGAAACACATCACGCATTTCATATGACAATTAGATAATACTACACCGGTGAAAACTAACATTTTCGCAAAAAACATTGGCATATGTTAGTCTAGTTTCCGAGCGGACACCGTTGAGACTAACCTAGACCTTTAACATGGACCGACCACTGGAAACGGTGACTTCCTGTGTAACGGTATTAGCGCTTTTTTTGGCCATTTCTGGACCCTCACTAACATGGACCGTTCCGACTCTCAGTCTATGATCGATTGCAATCTGACTATAAACTGAACGCAGGCTAACATAGACCGCGCCTTAGAGGTCAACATAGCCCGGTGGAGGCTCACTTGAAATTGAGTTCTGGTCTATGTTGTTTTTCCCCGGAGTATTTTATAGTGATGCTATGCGACGGACATACGTCCTTTATATAGACCTTAAATGGTACGCAATGAGTCTGATGTGGTGTGACAACGAGTGTTGGCTCACAACTCAACACTCCTCTCAACCACACCAACATTGGTGCTTTCAGCCCACAAGATAATCATTAAGGAAGAGTGTGGATATATGTATACAATACATGCATATATATATATATCATATTGTAAGTGAGCAGTGAGCACTGCAAAAAGGATTTGATAGAACACATATATAAAGGCATCAAAGGTATATATATCTATACTTCTTTATACGTATATACAGGGTTCACCGATTCACCGTCAGATTGGGCTGCGGCTGCTAAAATATATTCATTGTAAATCATTTTAACATAGCTGTGTTCTCCACGTTGTGAGATCGGCTAGGGGCGAACATTTCTATTTCCACATAGGAGGAGAAAGAAGAGAGAAGGGCTCGGTTGCAGTTTGTGAGTGTCGCTGAGGTTCATATGGCCAGCTTGGCTTATCCAATTGTTGGAGACAGAAGCTACGGATCAAAGCTTGTTGGCGGCATCATCTAATCGAGAGAGAGGGAGAGAGAGCGAGACCAGGAAGCAAAGAGACACCGACGCCTGGCGGGGCCAGGTGACCTGCATCCGGATGTCACATCCTCAAAGTCCATTAGTCATTATAGTCATTGGTCATTGGCCAGTGTATTTCAATGTTGTTTTTTGTCCTTTTTGTTTTTTACAAATACATGCATCGCTGAAGTCAGGCTACATTGTCTCCAGCTTGCCTTCTGTTGGCCACTTTTGGCCACAGAAGGACAAGGCTTTGTAACTAGATCCTGAATTTGTTTGCTGGAGTTGGCTGGAGTCTGATATTTGGCACGCCCGGGGATGCCCACATGCGGTGTCAATCCCACTGGTATCTATATATACGATCCAGTATGCGATCGATATTTCCTGCATGCTTTTGGAATCATGACACACTATTCAAAACTATGTACATAGGTGATCCTTTTTCTGCTGTGTCCAAGGCGCGATCTTCCGTGCTCTCGCCTCTTCTTGCATTGCTCTCGGGTGACCTTGCAGGATTTAACACAAGTCTTCGAGGCCCATGCGCCTTTGCCAGATGAACTTCAAAGTGTTCTGGAGGGATTGGAGTTCAAAAAAGACCTTCAACAATCGAAGACTGCGGAGCAACTGGAGCCACAGGCATGAGCAACCTTTACGTTCTCTTTTGGACAAACGGCCTTCAGCAGCGAGGAGAGAGAGGGAAAATTGAATGGAGGGACTTCTTTTGGCGGCGCTACCCTTTCAATCAGAAATCAAGTTGATCGTTGATGAAGGATGCAGGAAGATGAAGGCTTGCTGGGTTTCTTGAGGCTTTCTGGATTCAACAGCCTGAATGACAGCTCTCCATGACAGGGCGATGGCCCCTCGAGTTCGTTCTCTTTGCGCATCACCATTCAGAAGTTCCAGATAGTTTTTGCACAGCATGTGGTGCACCGCTGAATCTGAAGTCGTTTAAGATTGCGATTGCGACCGATTCTATGTGATTCTAATTGATTCTAATTCTAATGTTGCTGTTTCTAGATTGGTGTATAGGCTTGAACATTTGTTTCAGGCACCGCAGAGTGCAAGTCAAAGTCCGAGCGCCATGACTTTACTTCTCTCAGTTTAGAGTAAACGTGTATGTATATATATATACTGTATACTTAATTAACCTAGCTTTGAGACTGGGTAGTTTGTGTCGAGATATATATGTCGAGAGCTTGACAGACCAATCGAGGGGCAAGAGGCCTCGTGAAGTTCATGCTTTGGCCATTCATGCAGTCCGTACATTTTGCTTCGTTCAAGATGCACACGAGCCGTTTTGATTTCAAACTTTTTTCCGCCGACCGTGTTGGGCGGGCGTTTGCTTCAATGGGAAGTTGCAATGGCGAAGATTCACCTGGCCTTCGAGAATGGATCACTGTTGTTCTGGGTTGCTCCGTAACATTCCTGTTTTCCTATTTTTTCTATGGCTGGGCTGCGATGCAAGCAATTTTCGAAGCGGACGGTGTATACAAGGAGATATGCCCCGAAGAGGAGCCCTTGTGCTCAGACCGCGGGAGTCGAATGATCTTCCTCTTCAGTGTGGACAATACAGTGACCATTTTTGCAGGCATCTCCAGCAGCACCGTTCTTCTACCCTGCTTTCGTTGTTACAGGCCTCAGGTGCTAAGATGCAGACTTTGATAGTTACTGATAGTTCAACAGTCGCTCGTGGTATGCCGTCGGGGGCTAGGCCGATTAGCTGTCCAGAGCCAAAGAACACTTCTCTCAACATTCTATAATATATAGGACTTGCATGGACTTGCACAATGCCGAGGCTTACATTATCCTAAATATGTTGCTCGTCCGCTGCAGCCCCCCTTGAAGGGAGAGAAGAGTGCTAGCACTTCTTCAAGGAAGCTCCCCCTCGCCCTCAGGCGGGGGGAGCTTCCTTGAAGAAGCGTGAGCTATCCTGCGTCCTGTCGGTAGTAGCTACTTAAGTTAAGCTACTAGCGACTCCCTGGCTACTACCTCCTCCCTCTAGCGGCCTATCCCCCTTTGCAAAAAACATATAGTAACAATTAATTATTACATTATATATGTATATAGCAACATACGTTATTTTGCTTATTGTTGTATGATGTGGGGCCTGTGAAGGCGGAATGAGATGGAACACAAGAAATCATGAATATTCTAATTTTCCTATCCTCTGGCTATATAATATATGAGTTACACAATTAATGTATGTTACATGAGGTTTTGACAGCTTGACCTTGTAAGCTTCACGGTAACCCGAGGTATGCAACAGAGGGGCCCTACCAACCTAGGAAGGGTGCCGACTTGGCCCTTTTACAATGTCTAGCACCAAATAGCTACTAGTGGCTTCTTGTTACTAGTAGTAATGCTAGGAGCTACTGGTAGGTTCTTGTTACTAGTAGCGGTGGCCTCCACCCTAGTAGCTTCTTGTTACTAGTAGCGATGATGGCCTCTAACCTAATAGCGATGGCCATGGCCTCCATCCTAGTAGCGATGATGTCCTCAACCTTATAGCGATGGCCTCCATCCTAGTAGCTTCTTATTACTAGTAGCGATGATGGCCTTTGGCCTCCAACCTGATAGCGATGGCCTCTACTCTTCTTGTTACCAGTAGCGATGATGGCCTCCAACCTAATAGCGATGGCCTCCACCCTAGTAGCTTTTTGTTACTAGTAGCGATCTCTAGTAGCTTTTTGTTTCTAGTAGTAAGGTGTTTGCTTCAGGTACTGCCTTGGGAATTGCTATCGATCGCACCGGTCCAGTGGCACTTTGCATATTGGGGGGGCGTCTTCCAAGCTGCAGGGCTCTTGCTGATGGGCATTGGGAATGGTGATCCCAACGCGGCTGCAGACACACTCTTGTTTGCATTTGTTATCAGTGGCATTGGTGGGACAGCATTGATGCTGCAGTCATTGAAGCTTGCTTTCATTGTTGCACCTCGTCACTTTGCTCTTGTGATGGCCATCGCCAATTGTTTGGTGGATGGGTCCTCCGTAGTGCCTTTGGGTTTGTATCGGCTGTATGTGGCTGGACTATCTCGACAGTGGGTTTTCTCAGGCTATGCTGTGCTGTGCTTCCTCCTGAGCATGTGTTTGGCGGTAAGCTGGCACGGAGCGCCTAGTGCCAGACTCAGTGCCGCCAATCGCAAGGAGTCTGCAGCGGCTACCAGCGAAGCAGAAGGTCTGTGCCCAAGACTGCATGGCCTAACAGTGAGACAGCAACTGCCAACAATCGAGTTTGCCTTTGCCGTCACGTTCATGGTGACACAGGTCTTTCGAAGCAATGCATATCTCGGCGTAATCAAAAGTCTCCTCCAAGGTCTGGGTGATGATGAGAATGTGTACATGCAGATTTTGACCATCTCACTTCCAGCATCAACTCTTTTTGTTTGCCTCTTTGACATGAGCTTAAAGAAAGGTGGCTTTGCATTCACCTTCTTCGTGGTACTGTTTCTTGGCTTGACCTGGAATATTACTATGCTGCTTCCAAGCCTTCCTTTGCAAGTGCTTGGTTTTGCAGCTTTCACAAATTTCCGTGGCCTCCTCTTCGCCTCATTCTTCACCTTTGTTGGGCACAGCTTCGGAAACCGGACATTTGGCCGAATCAATGCTTTGCTCTGGTTCTGTGCCGGCATCCTATCTCTACTTGTCCATCCTTGTGTGGAGATTTCCAAGCAATGGACTGGAGACCTTGTGGCGATGAACATTTTCATGCTGGCATTGTGCCTGGCTTGCACAACGTAGCAAGCAAGTAACCTTGTCAATGGTTTTGTCTCGGCTAGGCGCAACCAAAAACTTCCAGAGTGTTTGGATGTCTATTGCACTGCCCGTGCATTTCGGACATGTAAAGTATGTTCGTTCTTGTGCCTGTGTGATTGCATTGTGTGTGTGTGAGACAGATGGTCGGTCGCATGGCTCAAAAGGCAGTTGTTGAAGGCTTGAGGTTGAGCCTGATGGCATTTGACCCGCCTCATTTTTCAGTCGGAGGCTGGGTCTGAAAACTCCGAAAACGAGTGTTCAAGCAGTCAGGCATGCAATAGTAACTATATATATTATATATATAGAGGAATCCCAAGTTGTTGTGTTTGTTTGTGGCCATGGTCGTTGTTCTGCTCCGCAGGGTTGCATTTTTCCCGCGAAGACCCCGGCTTGCTGGATGCGTTTAACTTTGCATTGCATGTCCTTTTGCTTTTGCATTTGCTTTTGATTTTGCTTTTGCTTTTGCAGATCCTTTTGGTCTTGCTTATGCTTTTGCTTCTGCCTTTGCTTTTGCTTCTGCATTTGCATTTGCTCCTGCTTCTTTTTTGCTTTCGCTTCTTCCAAGTGGCCAGTGGCCAGCTTGAAATGCCATGCTGCTTGCAGTGGGCAGGCTTCAAAAGAAGTAGCAGACCTTTTGTAGGCCGCTAGGGCTCCCCAGGACATGCCAATTCAGACCTTTTCTGTGACCAATCTCCGTAAAATTGAGAAGGGGTAGGCACCACTACAACATAGCAGACCTTTAGTGAGCCACCCGAGAGTAAACTTTAGAGGAACAAGCACCACTCCAAGTAGCATACTACAATCATGTTAAAGAAAGCTAGAGAGGCCAAATCACTAAAATGGACGGCAGCCGTTGACGCTCTGGAGATTTCGGATTGAAGAGGAAAAAACAGGCGGATCTCCAAATTATTTGGAGCCAGTGAATTGCTTAGCATTAGCCAGTATATACAACTATAACTGTAGAGCATCCTGGGCTTGTCTTCCAACTGAAGGGCTGTTTGTGCACAGCGCCGCGCATCATTTTCCATGTTGTAATCAGACATTTGCTTGTTTCCTGTGTCCCTATTGCTCTTTGCTGAGCCAACTATGCATGTTCCAAAACTAGATGTTACACACTCTTTACAACAAGGGTGCTGTATGTAGCAGCGTAGCACAACCCGTGAGTTGTGTAAAACTGTGTGCGTAAACTGCGGCGTTTGTTCTGAATGGATCTTTCGGGATCATCCGCTGCAGGCGGCCCGAAAGCTCAGAGTTGTTGTAAATGTGTGGAATGGCTGCTAGAAGCAGAATGGGGCATTCCATGGCATTCCGATTTTTTTTGTCGAAAGATTCGAAAGCTTGTTGGGACACAAAAATGGTTTGCGTGGTATATCGATGCGTATCCGTGCAGTGTTCTGGGACCCTATTAGGTGATCCGCTTTGCATGTAACATGGCGGCTTGGTCTTTGCGTACAATCTTTGTATATTGTATATTATACATATATATATATATGTAACATATGTTTTTTGTATCGGACAGCATACAACAACGCATTTCTCACGTACAACTCTTGCGACAAACATGGTTTAGGTTGCTACTGCCGCGCCATTTGTTGAACCTTGAACCTTCCACAAACCTCATGGGAAGGCATCTGGGGGCTTGACGCACAATTTGCTTTTTGGTTGGATCGCTGGATCCGCAAGTGTTTTTGTAGAGGGAACTTGTGCAAGGCTTAAAGCCAGCCGCCTAGGCTGTCATTTTGTGGGAACTCAGTGTGCTTCAACCACTCAGGCCACACGGTCAACCACGATTCCTGCCATTATCTGAAGTTGTTCTTTGGGAACAAGAATCTAACTGAAAGCGTGAAGCGCAAGGTCCTGAACTTTTGCCTGAAGTTTCGCCCAGTATGAATCATGGACTCACTTGCACCTGAAAGACGTAGCAACAACACCAAGGACAAAGAAACCCATGAAGCAACCGGCAGCTCCTTCACGGAACTGAAAGGTGTTAACAACCCCAATTCAGTGCTAATTCCCAGAATGCTTATCACAAAACACTTCGTGTTGGAAAGAACATTTCATCAAATTTCATCAATGGCTATGTGTGCCGAGCAGTGCTAAGAGGTGGAGAATGTCAGACATTTTTAGGCACCAAACCCATGGCGGGCGCAAGGAATCAGGACATACATGGAAGAAGAACTGTCATGGCCGTGGCAGGCACACGTAGGGAACATCTGGAGTTTCAGATTGGAATTCTGGACCTCACTATTGGATACTATAAGCGCAACACATCAGGTCGTGCATATTTTGCCTGCGTGTTTAAAGGACATGGAAGCATTGTGAATTGTCCTTGTTGTGGAAGCATTGTCCTTGTTGATGTTTGGGGTGAGCTGTTTCAATCGCATTATAAATGAGAGCTCCTGAAGTCCAGGGTTCGGGTCTGCCAAAGTACAGTATGTTACGGTCTTGCCCAAACATGATAGGCAAGCCATGCCCCCACGGCCAACATGAACGATCATGAATGTTTCAAGTTTCATCTACTAAGGTGCTTTCCTGCCGTGTTGATGACAGTGGTGCTTTCAATTCATCTTTGCCGAAATCCTGCCGGAGACATCAAAGTGTTGAACTCAAAGCCAGCTGAAGTAGCTGAAAGCTCCGCTTAGCTGCTGCAGCTGCAACCTTGTCTCAATGCATGCACTGGCAAAGTGCTGCCACGAGTTTGGCTGGTTGAAGGCCCGGCAACCGGCGTCTGAAGTGCTTTCTTCAACTCCCGCATAGTGGCATAGTCGTAGTGCCTTCCCATGTTCTTGGGCTTGCTGAGGCAGGGGAAGGCAGGCAAGCTTAAAGCTTGCCAGCCAACACTATTTTGCAAACATGCTCCTTTTGCAAGTCAATAGCAGCTTTTGTAGCGGCTTGTGGCCTGCTTGTGTTGCACGTTGCAAGGCTGATAAAGCAGACGCGAACGTTCTGTGATCATTTGCTCAAATCTTTGGCAGATCTTCCATATGGCTTTTTTGATGCTGTGTAGTATTGTGGATTATTGAGATGCCATCAAAATCAGTCTGACCGGCCTGTATTAAGGCTCAAGAGGGATAAGTCAGGGGGGACAAATCCCGCATTATTTGCGGGATGTGGTTCGCCGTTTGCCAAAGCTTGCCCGATCTTCATATTCTGCGCGACGACGAGAGCTGCTTCTCTGATGACGACTTGGAGGAGGTGGGAGGTGCTCCCTAGCACCTATGAATCACCTTTCAAGAAGATACCTGCGCACGAACTGCTTGCACCAGGATTTCGAGATCTCTCGGCCAAGACAGCGACAGATCTCAATGGTGTATGATCCTGACAATGACGACTACCAGATGCAAGTGAAGCCGGAAGTGCCCGAAGCAATTGCACAGATGGAGACGGAGCTCATCAACAAGCAAGTTGCGCAGCTCCAAGTCAGGATTGACCAAGGAGGCTTGATTTGAAGCTTTTTTATCTTTTTTCTTGAATATTTGCGAATAGTGCGTGGCTTATATATTACAAAGGCTTACCGCATAAAGTTTCAGGGAGACGTCCAGGAAAATGGACACTCAGACAGATTGACATTCGAATGATTCACATAATCCAAACTTGTCGTTTATTCATATTCAGCGGATCACCGCAGAACTGAACGTTAGGCCCTAGCATTTCAGTGGTGATGGTGAGAATTTGTAGTGCACTCCCGGGGGGGGGGGTCAGCTCTGGAAAGAGGGTTTGGTGAGCAGCCCACAAGGCCAAAAAGGAACTTGAATGTGACTGAACGAACCGGAGTCCCGTGAGATACCCGTGGTTCTCCGTGTTTTTGATTCCTTGGGGCATTCATTGTCCCAAAATCATGGTTCTCAACACAGCGCTTGTTCTGTTTGTGTTTAAGTCTAAGCCAAGCCTAGAATCTGAGATGATCTCCGCGCTCATTCTCTAGTGACTCTAGAAAGTGCTGGAAATAGAAGGAATATATGTATAATATATATATATATGTGTGTACATAGCCCATTGCACTAATTTATTGTTCCACAGGTCCCCGTGGGTTGCTGGAATAACTTTTGCAGAATAATTACCTAGGAATAAGGTTGAAGGGGAGGGATGGGGAGGGACCATAGACGATTTTGCAGTTTTTTTTTCCATAGCAGATCACATTGCTTGTTCAATTCGAGTTTGGTTATTGGAGCAGAGAACATCAAGCGGGTAGAGATGTCAATAAACAATGAATAATGGCAGAACTGTCCCATCTCCAAAAATAACAACCAACTGGAAGAGATTAGGATCACGGTGCTTGCTCAATTCTAGGAAGGCATTGGGACCAGAGAAAATCAACCCCAGACAACATAAAAGAAAACAAACAGCATCTCCAAACAATGACCAACTGGAAGAGGGTTTCGCAAGATTTGTAGAAGACCCCAGGCTGGGGCCAGTCGCAGGCAGAAGCCAGGGCCAGCACAACAAGGCCAGAAATCATTACAGTATATTCCAGTGGCCTGTGACATTTCACATACCATAAACATTCACCATGCCCAGAACGATTTGTAGAAGACCAAAGGCTGAGGCCAGGAGCAGGGAGAAGGAGCCAGAAGCAAAGAGGTGCAGGGATTTGAACACCCAATGTTTGCACCAAACAAATTCATACAAATTCAATTCCATTCAAGGTCACGTAGATACAAAAGCACCGAAACAAGTCGACGATGTTCACGGAGCTCCGTTGGAAGATATTTACGAATATCCTGAACCTTGTCCTTTAGTTTTAGAGAAGCCTGGGCTTTAGCAAAAAACACGCCCCCCAAAAAAAGCGATGTTCACGTAGTTTGTTTCAATAGTGTAGTACTGGGAAGTAACCTGAACATTGCCCTTTGGTCTTGGGGAAGCTTGGATTAACCAAGCCCACTTCAAACCAAGCCAATGCCATGTAGATACCAAAAGCACCAAGCCAAAACATGATGATCACGTAGCTCGCTCAAGAAGACATTGACAATTATATACCTGTACATTGACCTTCGGTTTTGGAGAAGCTTGGAGTCTAGCCAAGGCTACCTTAGAAAAATATGCAAAACAAACGGGAGCTCACAGAAGAAGAACAAAACCGTGTCGAGGGAAAATATGCCAGCAACCCAACCAGGTCAGGAATCGTTTTCTACATTTGTTTGGAAGGTATGCAGAATACATCAGAATACAACATATTCCAGGGTATAGTCACATGGCCCCGTAGCCCCTAGCTAAGGCATAGGCCCAGGCCGCAAGCCATATATAATTTGATGTTGTCGCGTGCGCAATGTGCTGGTAGCCAGTGCATTTGCGGCGTTGAATTCATTTGATGTCCCCAAACTGCTATTCGTGTTTGCTCAGCTTTGCCATTTTGCTCCCCAAACGCAATTTCACACTTCTTGTAATCATATAATGTTGCTTCCTTTGGACATGTTTTGCCTGTTGGTTTAACTGTTCTTTGTGTGTGGGTGTGTGGGGAGGTGCATTGCAATTTTTGTTAGGTCTCTCATTGGTCGAAAGTTTGGGAGCAAGCCGCAAGCCTCACAAAATGTGGCGCGCAGGCGATTCAGAGATCTTGAATCACTATCGCAAGGCGCGCTCAAGGAGTGCATGTTTCAGGCTTTTTGATGGCTTTTGTGGCGAACTAGGTCCGTTTAGGCCCCTGGTTCGCCAAAGCTCGCGGGAAAAAGAGAGATACAGTAGATTCCATGAATCAAACAAATATAGACAGATAGGGACTCCGGACATCCAGGTGAAAGAACAGTTGGAGCTCCAGCTGTCGAAGAAAATCAAGACGATCGACGATCAAGCCTCCATGGTGTCACAACTCGTTGCTGGGCTTAATAAGTTAAGGCTTAAAAGACAAACAGCTGACTAACAGTAACGGATATACCAGAATCAAGATATCAGTGCTTGATGCTGAAAGGCAACCCAGCTGCTTGAAGGCCTTGCTTACAAGGAAAATATGAATGCGCCGAACTTCTTAAACAAGAGTAGATCATAGTGCCTGACACTGGCAGAACACTGAGTGGACATGCTTTTGCTTCCACGCGCTAAGTCCACATGTGGCAGCAGCACCGACGTTTTGTCATTGGCCTCCCCTTTTGAATCAAGGAAGGCTGGTGGCGGCTGGTGGGAAAGGGTCTGATGCTGATCGGTTTGGGGTTTGTGCAATGTTGGATAGACTGCTTTGCAGCAAGTCACTTCACTTCGAAGATGTTCGACTATTTGTGGACCGATGTTGAAAGCTGCACGCACAGGTCACACGGTTTTGCGCCAGGTTGTTGTGGCTGACGAAAATCAATCAATCAATCAAAGTGCTGCGTGGTGATATGTCGTTGTTTGTTGGTGTGTCAGTCAGACAATCCCGACACGGCGCCTGGTTGAGCGAAATGCGTCATTTGAACTCTAATTCCGATGAGATTTCATGGTTTCTCTTCGACATTTGCTGCCCGCGATGTATGACGACGGTGATGTCTTACCTTCAGCTTTGTTGGCGTAGGCGTAGGTTCTGTACGGCTGTGCAGGTCCAACATATATAGGATCTTAGTCCTGAAGTTCCTGAAGCTTAAAATGAAACAATTTGAGCAGTTCTTCTGAAGGCAGCACCATTTGCTCTCAATTAGGGGAACCACACTCCGCCCATCGTGGCCCGCATTGAGTGCACATGGGCCACACAATACTATCCCCAAAGAGGACACTGCACAATTTGCTTTTTACTTTTCTGGAAAGCTGGAGTTGTTATTTTTGGTTAGACGGTGCTTGTGTCTAACCCAATTTTGAGCTACTGACTCGGCTGGTTTGGCCACTGCTTGGGCCGTAGTTGCTTCCACATTCAACTGATCTGAATCGGCGCAAAAGATTTGTTTTGCAATCATATTGGAACATGCACACCACCTTTTCGTTGTCTTTTGCTGGGCACCATTGCTGCTCAGCTGCTGTCTTTAGGCATGCGATGCGGCATCTCCGAATGATTATTTATATGTGTGATCGCCCACAATTCCTTTTGTTGCAGTTCTGCCTTTGCTTCAATACATTGTTCCTCCATTTGTTTGTGGACTTGCTTGGGTGTCTCAATTTTGTTATATACACATATATATATAATATATACAATGTTTCTTCAGAAGTTTTGCTGTTCCTTTGTCCGGATTCTAGACCACTACAAAGTCTGATTTTTTTCCTTGATTTTGTGCAGTGTATTGCTGCCAGCTGGCAGGTTGACAAGACATGAGTGTAGACCAAGCGCAGATGAGCAAGCCAGAGTGCATGCTACCATACGTTGAACTAGCGGACAGCATGTTTTTTATTGTTTTTCCTTGTGGTATTGTCACATATAGATCGACAACTAAGTAAATTCACAGAGAGTGAGCGCAGAACCAAACACCGCGAAGACAGAAGCAAACAAGAGGGGACATGTACATAAATTGGCGGTAATGGTGAGCACAGGTGTGCATGAGTTTTGTTTGGATTTAGGATGTTAGTTTGAGATAGTTTGAGAAGACTAGCTTTTTTGGTTCATAGTTGTTGAAGGGTATGGATCGCCATTCCAATGACTTCTTGACACCTTGGGCCTTGCGTGCGTAGCAGCACCAGGGCAGGCAGAGCAAAACAAGAAAAGACATCAGCTGTGATAGAGCAGGTGAAAAGCTTCAGGTTGCCTGCCCTGAGGGGTCGTATATTTTTTCTTACTGTCGCGAAGCGACTACTGTAGCAGATAGGACATAGGACAATTTTTGGACCAGCTCGGACAAGAGGTAAGGCCGCTCTTGGCTAAAAGCCAGGAGTTGCAGCTTCTACTCGTCAACATTCTCCCAGCCAGTTTGCCAAAATTGTGAACTGGTTTTTCTCGGGCGGGCTGTTGTGCTACCGATGATGCAATACAATTTACTTAATGAAGTTAGTGCTGTGGCCGTTGTAAGAGCAGTTCTTGCAGCATATGCAGCCATCCCATCGTGGAGAGTCCAAGGTAGCTGTGAGTGACCTTTGCGGAAAATATTTTGTGTTGGGCGGGCATGGTGGAGTGAGCACATTGACATAATTTGGGCTGGCCACTTCTAAAAATGAGTCAGAAAGCTGCGATCCAATCCTAATCGTGTTTCCTGTTACATGAGAGCCGAGCTGCTGTAGTTGCAAGGAGACATGCATGCCCGAAGCTAGGAGAAAAGAGCTAAAACGATGCCAGGAAGCAAACAGACGAAAGACGAAACCGTGCAACCTGACATGTCGAATTATTAATACTGTATAGCTTGGCTGATTGGATGTTGTATGAAGTATTTGCTGGCGGGATGGTTGGTTGGTTGGTTGGTTGGCTCCCTGTGGAAATAAAATCCAACGTCAACAAAACCCTACACCACCCCGACCCTGACATGCCAAAGCAAGATGATTCACCAAGCAAAGTCATCCCTGCAGGAAGGACAACGAACATCAAGCAAGTCCCACGCCACCCCACCCTGACAGGCCGAAGTGAGCTCATTGACGAAGCACAGTTAATGACGAGGAACTTCAAACCCTGTGAGGGGTGTAGGCGTAAGTGAGTTGCAAAAATGGGGGGCAAGCAACCAGCAGCCCCACAGGGTACGCTGAATCGAATTCTTGTACCGATTGCACGAACATGTCAACGGCAATGTTTTCATATGTTTTCTAGTTTCCTGGTTCTCTCACACATCAGAAGCAGCAGAGCAATCGTGTTGTGTGGAGGTTTTCCGGTTGCTCTTCAAGCGCTTTTTGAATCAAAAGAACGCCCTGACCCCTGAACAGAGCTTCGCGGAAGGTACACTACAGGTCGTGTGTGTGTTTTTGGGTTTTTGCTTTTCTGTTGAGAGGTGCGCGATGAATTGTTTGATGATGATGGTGATGATGTATGACCCGGTGGGTGTTTTTGGTGTTGATGTTTTCCTGAACTTCTGACCTGTCAATTGGAAAGTATCGGTTGATGTGCTTCATCCCTCGAAGGTCATTACTGGGATGAGGCTGTAACCACCAGCAAGGTAGGGCGAACCCACACACTGACCCATCGGAGAGAGCATGCCAAAGCATGCTTCAACAATGCAACAACAACAACAACAGCAACTTACAACCAAAGCTTTGTCTTGTCCACCCCTTTGGTATCAACACATTGAGGGCAATCTCGCAATTCCCTTCTAGGTAGCACTAGTCAACAAAAGTCCAAAGAACATCACTTGCGCGCCCATGACAATGCACAGACGAACAGCAACGGGCCAGGACTCGGAACAGTTTTTGGTACATGTTCTATATATTGGTTGCCTTTGGTTTACAATATTATGTGACTCATTTTTCTGTTGCATCAGCGTGTCGCAAGATCATTCGAGGCCTTGAGGACCACCTCAAACTAAACAATAGGTGAGGCTCAAGTCAAAGGAGGGGACCGGATTTTTGCGGGATGCTCTTCACCATTTGCCAAAGCTTGCCAAATTTGCATATTCTCCACGATGATGAGTGCTACTTTTCGGAGGATGATGACCTGGAGGAGGCTCGCAATGCATCATAGCTTTCGGAAAGTCAACGAATGTCACCAGTCAAGAATCGCCTATGAGGCCTTTTTAATGTGCCCTAGGGCAAGAGGTCTCTAAAAAACTGCCCAACGGCCGTTCAGTGGCCCTACCCTTTTCACCTCAAGCAGGCGAGTTGTTCCCGTGAGGGTTTCCTGCCAATCGCTTGCATCAGGAGTTTGAGACTTGCCGACCAAGAGACAGACAAATCTCAGTGGAGTATGACCCAGACAATGATGACTACCAGATCCAAGTCATACCAGAAGTGCCCGAAGAAATTGCACTCATGGAGGAGCAGCTCATCAAGAAGCAAGTTGCCAAGCTCCAAATCAGAATGGACCAAGGAGGCTAGATTTGTCCTTTCATGGTCAGAGTGCTCATGAAACTTGTTCGGCTTTTGAAGAATCGCAGCATGAGCCTTCACAAAAGCATACTGGCATACTGTCAGCAAGGCAAATAGAAGGCGGCAAAACACATGAAGATACATGAAGTTAGCCTTACAGATGCCATGTTTTGTTGGTGAAAGGCTCCTAGGAACCTGAATTTGATGCCAAGTTGTAAGTTAAATAAATGTTCTTTGGAATTTTAACCTGCAGTGTGTACGAGGTACTGTAGATGGGGTTTGAAAGCACCAGGATTCCCCACAAATCTTGACGCACAGGCGATGCAGAGATCTTGAATCACTACCGCAAGGTGCGCTTGATTTTATGTTTCAGTGAACTTAACCTTTTTAGGGTGATGGGTGATGGGTCCACACAATTGGTTGTTTTGAGGGAACTCCGCCGTGTGACAGGGTTTGATGCATAAATTGGTGTGAGGATGCAGAAACGACAGATGCCTGTGCATATGTTTATTTTATATAAATATATAGTATATACAATTACTCATCACTGTACTGTAATTACAATTATCACTTTGGCAATCCTCCCCCCAAAAAAAGTCTACCCGTTTAGCGTGTAAGACACCAATTTGTAAATTTTTGATTTTATTGTTGTTTTTTTTGATGGAGGCTACCATATCAAAAGGGTTCCGCTATCATGCAAGATACATCTCAAAAGAAAGCCGTCACAATAGATGTGATGTTGTTCTTCTACAGTTTTTTGGGAAGTACATCAAGCCAATTCCTTTCGCAAACCGCTTATCTTTTGCTTAAGATGTTATCTCGTAACGAGTTGGCAAGTTGGTGATCTTGCATTTCCAGACATTCATTGCTTCTTCCCGCAGGACTTCAATTCATCAATGCATGCATGCATGCATGCATGCAAGTCCTGTGGGCCGGGACCAGTCAAGGCATGTTCTGTTGGATTCAATGTTCAAGACTTCGAAGAAATCCAGAACATGCGTTGATCCTTTGGGTCAGATTCAAGATTTGTTGAGCAACCTGCTTGGACGGGCTCAATTCTTGAACCCAAAGCAAACTATGTTAACGTGGTTTTGATCCAAAGCTCCCAAGTCAAGAACCATCGGATTGACCTTTTTTACATGAATATGGTACCCTTGTGAAATTATATTCACCTCCAAAACAGCACTTGGACATGCATGAAGAAATGAGCTAAAACGCAACAAATCAGTTATACATATAATATATAAATGTCCAAAAAAGTAAGGTAGACCGTTTTTTGATGGTGCTCCTTTTTGTAATACATAGATGAAAGTAAGAGGAGAGGAGAGAGGAGAGAGAGGAGAGAAGAGGAGAGAAGAGGAGAGAAGAGGAGAGAAGAGGAGAGAAGAGGAGAGAAGAGGAGAGAAGAGGAGAGAAGAGGAGAGAAG